CCTACTAAATAGGCCCGCATGGTTATTGACCGGGCGTACCGTTAGACCTTGGATACCTGTAACCCAAAGGCTCCATGTACCCATATAATATACACTTAGGCCTTAAAGTACCTATATAGGGACCCCTTTAAGGCCAAAGTATCCACTATAAAGGTACATGGAGCCTTTGGGTAAGGCACCAGATTAGAAGCCGTCGGCCTCGCAAACCAGAAGAAGCCATGCAGTTTTGAGAACCAGTTCAATATTTCGAGTTTCAAAGGTATTAATTATCCCTAAACCCTAAAACCTGAATAGGTACTAATTATCCCTAAGCCCTATAACCTGAATAGGTATTAATTATCCCTAAACCCTAAAACCTGGGGGTATTTCACTATAACTATGGTAAGGAACCCCCAAAACCCTATTTTGAATATTAAGGCCCCTACATTATGCAAAGTCACCGGACAGCAAATCTTGCTGTCTGCAAACAAACCCCTATTTGGGCCCTAAGCCCTAAACCCTAAACTATTTTGGCTCCTCAAGTCTACCGGAGGCCTGCCGCCACGAAGACTGATGAGGAGAAGCTGGAAGAGGCATAGGGTTTACCTGGACCCTATGAAACCCACCTTTTTAGGGCTCCTGAATATTGTTGCGTTTTGTAAGTCCTTAAACAGGTAGGTTATTCGGGGTTAAGGTAGGGGGGGGGCATGCAAGCGTTTATTCGTGTGACGTAGGCCTCTGTCGCGCCGAACGCACTCGGAAGCGATAGTGTCGACCGCGACGTTGATTATAGCATCGCTGCTCCTTTCATATACCGACCGACACTGGTGACTTGTTCCTGCCCTTGTACACTGTGTCACTTTGGGCCGGGATTCTGGGGTTGATCACAAAGTGTCATGCCCGAAGCGTTAAGCACAGAGCGTTTACAGTGTATGTAGGCTTGCATGGTTTAGATGTTCAATCGGGACACGTTTATGAACTTCTGCTGTCATTATACGTTGAAGGGGGAATTTTTGTCAGGTTCTCTGGTGTCCTCATGGGGCTTGAAGGGTCCAAAGACTTAGGCTCGGAAAGGGTGGTCGGGATTCGCGTCTTTCGGGGTTTCAGGTTTAGGGTTTTGGGGGGGTTTAGGGTTTAGGCTGTTCACCGCAATATAGATGACAACAGCCCTGCACTTACCCCGAAGCAGAGTAGGTAACCTTTTTGAAGTAGTATTAATCCCTATAAGCCCAATATACTCCCGTGGATTAACCTGAGGTTTTGGGGCACACTGGAAAAGTAGGATGCATTTTGGGTTTCAGGGTTGGGTGTTTCAGGGTTCCAGGGATTGAGTGTTCGTGCTCAATTTTTCTGGACCCCGGTCCGGTCTAAAGCCTGAACCCTTAGGGCATCGGACAGATCCGGAAGAATTCAGCTTCCTGATGTACCGTCCTTCTTGGTCGTCTTACGCATATGATAGGCGAGGGCTCGCAGGCAACACTGACATCTGATCCCAAATTCCAAGCCTTTATTTATATGACCCAAGCAGCGAACCTTCAACCGCAAACTGCGATGCTAATCCTAATCCCGCCTAAGCCCAAAATTCTAAACAAACCCTTGAACCTATATACCCTAAACCCTAAACTCTGAACTTCGATCCATAACCCCTCCATCCCAATATTGACCTCCGCCCCTGTGTGTTCTGCACTCAGGCAGCCGTCCCTGATGGCGCCAATGAAAAGGCGTCCTCGGACGACTCGACTCTTAGGATTCACTCATAATTATCACCGAAAACCTAAAGTTACAGGACTTATAGAAAGAACTCCAGATATGATAAGGAACCCCGAGAAAGGTAGTACGGTTGGTTTTTGCGGGTTTAGGGTTTGTGGGCGTATGGTTTTCCCAGATCTTCCAGATCCTTTAATTGCTTGTAATGGATACGTCCTAAACCATATCAGAGATCCGATCAGAGTGCATGGCATCTTTTGAAGATCTGGGTAACTTCTCAACTCTTAGGGTGTAGGGCTTATGGTTCAGTGCAGTCCCTTTGCCGGGTTGGTTTGAGGGTCCCGGTTCTGTAAGCATACTATCAGGCTTGCTACAATGTCTTCTACAAGGTCTCTATGAGGGGTCTACGGTTAATAGAAAGGTTTAGAGTTCAACAAGTTTGGCATTAGTTCTTAGAGGGTTGGGTACAAGCCAGATCGACCCTGGATCCTAAAAAAAATGCGGTGCTCGGAGCTTTGATTGGTTTCACGAGGTAGGGTTCAACTTCGATGCTGTACAGCTTCCACATAGGAGGATGGGCCTACAACGAAGTCTATGCAAGCTTCTACATGTTCTAGAGTCAGCATGATGGTACTAGGGCTTCACTAAGACGGGGACATTGGGCCTTAAGGAAGCATGTTCCCCTAAGACCCAAAGTAGGTAGCATTTATAGACTTTAGACCCCAAAGTAGGTACTATTTGTATACTTGGAGTCTTAGGGTTCTTCTCGGGATTCTGAAAGGAGATCGAAGTTTTCATATCAGTCCCGAAACCCGGAACCTTAGCTCCTCAACACTGCGACATCGAGGCTTAATAGTCTGGCCTGCGTTCCGCGAGAGCTCGTTTCAACGCAGGATGCCCGTAGATCTAAGTAAAATGCTACATCCACTGATTCAGAGGGGCATGCAAATCCCGAAACCCCGAAACCGAATCCCCAACTGCGAACAAGCAGAGAGCTTGGGGACAACAAAGGGCTCTTTTTCAAAATCTTCAACAGGTGGACAAGCTGATGGACAAGCTCAACCGCTTGGTTGGCCTGACGAAGGTACTGCAAGGGCTCATGAAGTGTTTTTGTTGTTGGCAGGTTTGGGTGTGGGTTCTAGCTGGTCGTGGGTCTCCGGCTCATTTTCCCGGACCAGGACCCAGACCTCCCAAAATCCCTTAATTAAGGAATATACCTTAAGTCATAGTAGGAGCCTTAATGTGATTTAAGGTATATTCCTTAATTAAGGGGTTTTGGAGGCTCTGGGAATGAGACCGAAGCCTTAGAGAACTCCCAGGCTCTGAGTCCAAGACCCGCTCCCCTAGAAGCCTAAAGGGAACTCCAGAAAGTTGGAATATGGATTAATGGTAGGATCCCCTATAATTTACCTTAAAGGGGTTACGATAATGATATTCCAACTTTCTGGCTTCTACTGTATCTTTGGGCTCTATGTATAAACCACCGTCTATCTCCCTACCGGCTCTATCCATCGAACGCTTGATCTGTCTATCTAGCTTTATTTCCCAGAGACTCCAATACCCCTTAACTAATGAATATTCCTTAAATTGATAGTAGGATCCCTTATATGATATACGGAATATTCCTTAATTAAGCGATATTGGAGTCTCTGGGTTCTTTCGACCTATCTACCTGCGTCTCGAGCGCGTCCAGGGGACCCCAGGCCCGGCGCGGCGAGGATGTTGTACAGTGTATACGGGTGGCTGTCAAAATTAGGGTCCCTTTTTGGGTCCTTATTATAATACGGCACTGAATATTTAGGGTACCCAAAAAGGGACCATAGTTTTGACAACCACCCATATGAGCACAGTGAGACCTATCTACCTAATTACCTCGCTACCTACCTATCTACCTCCCTATCGATCGACGTATCTGTCTATCTGCCTACATATGTATCTGTTTGTCGTGAAACTACCTGTCTATCGACCTCTCTATCGATCTGTCTATCTATCTGTCTATTTACCTAGCGATCTCTTCTATCTGTCTATCGATCGTTCTATCTCTCTATCTGTCTCTGTATCTGTCTGTCAACCTACCTATCTATCTGTCTATCTATCTATCGATCTGTCCATACATCGGTCTATCTGCCTGTCTGTCTGTCTGCCGGTCTGTGTCTCTGTCTCTCTGTCTCTCTGTCTGTCTGTCCGTCGGTCTGTCTGTCTGTCCGTCAAAACCCTAAACCCCTAAACCGTCGGTCTGTCTGTCGGGTTGGTTGGCTGGCTGGCTGGCTGGCTGGTTGTCCTTCGATCTGTCTGTCTGCAAATCTGCCTATCTACCTAGCTATCTAGCTATCTATCTGGCTACACTGTAGTCTTGGCGTTTTTCTGGTTGGCTCTTGCAATTTTTAGGAGGGGTTCAGAAGTCAGCCAAGTCGTAACACAACAGCTGTGTCTAAACTTCCTTCAAAGTGCGGCTCAAGGATTAAGTTGTTTTCGGGCCTGGGAGGGTTTGAGGGTTTCGAGTTTGTGCATCATGATTTGGGTGGTTGACACAATTAGGGTCCCTTTTTGGGATCTTTAATATAATGCGGCACCTATATTTAGGATACCCAAAAAGGGACCCCAATTTTGACAACTACCCATTTAGGGTTTACTAGGCTTCAGGGCTGAGGAGGTTCGCGTTGTTCGTAACTTCTGGGGGTCGTGGAGTTTCATAATTTTGGGGGTCTACCTTAAGGCTCCTGGACCCTTGTAGTGAGATCCCGGACCCTAGCCCCCAAAGCCGAAACCCTCCCGCAGAAAGCCCAAGACCCTCTTAGGAGCCTGAGGGTAGGGTCAAAGTTTGAAGCTGTTGAGTCGAGTGTGAGGGTACGAACCGCGGAGCCACGGAAGCAATCTGGAGGGGACGGGGGGGGTCTATCTGTTTTCTTCAGTGGTCAGAGACTTGAGATTCTGGCCTTCTAGAGCCAAGGTGAGTTCCAAACTATTCAAACTCAACCCGTAACAACCTGCAACCCTTTGAATCTCAAGTACTTGCTGTCATAGTCATAGTCATAGTCATCCACCCTAAAAACCCTAAGCCCTAAACCCTAAACCCTAAACTCCCATATTCTATCTTGACAGGCCCAGGAACTCTCATACCTTAAAGCTCTACAGCCTTTGTAGCCCAGGTCGAACCATGAAAGGACCCGTATAGAAACCTTGTAAAACCATCACCATAAGGGTCCAGATACTCAATCTTCTAGTGCTTGTGTGCCTTTTTAGGTACCCGAAATTCTAAACCGGACGGAAACCTTGTAGAACCATCATGGAACTCTCGACAGGTCAAGGCAGGAATGGCGGAGCTGAGAGCAATGGTGGAGTTCGACCTCTGGTGCCATGGTCTTTGTCGGGTTTAGTCCTAAGTGAAGCGCTTCAGGGTTTAGGGTGTAGGGTTAGTTTTAAGGTATGTGGGGGGGTGTTAGGGGTGAGGGTTTAGGGCAGGGCTAGTAGGTTTTTATACCACACGAGGATGTGTATACTAGTTTTTTGTGGGCTATAAAGAGGCCTTCATAAGGGCAGCGGGTAAGGATAAGACTTGGGCATTGGAGAGCCTTCGAGCTTTGAACTGCGGGAGTTTAGGTCGCTAAACCCCTAATCCCCAATCCCGCAATTCCCTAAACCCTAACCCCGTAATCCCCTAAACCCCTAACCCCTTAAACCCCGAAACCCTAAACCCTATATGCCCTCAACCCCTTTTCCCCTAATCTCTATAAACCCTAAACCCCTAAACCCCTAAACCCTGGACCCCTAAGCCCTTAAACCCGAATCCCCAAACCCCGCAACCCATCATCGCCTAAACCCTACAAACCCTAAACCCTAAACCGTATCTGCTGGCAGGAAAAGAGGCTCCAAGCAAAAAAACAAAGCAACATCCCCTAAGCCCTGTAACCTCTAATCCCCTAAACCTCTAAACCCCTAAACCCCTAATCCCCTATATAAACGCTAAACCCGATAAACCCTAAACCCCCTAATCCCCTGAACCCTAAACTCTCAGAGCTCTGACCGATACCTCGACAAGCCTAAAGCCTTGGCCAAGCTAAACCCAGACCCCCGGGAGGATCCAAAAAGTAGATCCCTTAATGGGGGTTCGTATAAATCCCCGTTAGTAGTATATCAAAGGGGAAGAGGAGGGACCCTTACTGGGGACCCCTACCCTATAATGGGGCTATATAATGGGCATATCCTAGCCATATTAGGGGTATATACCTAGGGGTCCTTATTAGGGGTCCGTCCTTTTACCCTTGGAGTATAGGGCCCCAAATTCGGGGATCTACTTTCAAGATCCTAAACCCTAAACCCCTAAACCCTAAACCCTAAAACCTAAACCCCTAAACCCTAAACCCGAATCCTCCCGGGGTCTGGGAAGGCGCAAGAGGCTGCTCCCCGATGCAAAGTCCCTCATGGGCCAGTCCTTCCACATGCAGTTCCTGGGAAATCCAGGCACTCGCAGCGGGTTTAGGGTTTAGGGCTTAGGGAACTTAAGGCTCTAAATAGCCCAGAGTAGGTACCATTTATAGACTTTAGACCCCAAAGTAGGTATTATTTTCATGCTTGGACAATGCTTGGAGTCTTAGGTTCCGCGTAAATCTGCACTCGAAGCCTCATTAAACCCCAAACCCTGACTCCCGAAACCCCAGTAACCTTAGATATCTGAACCCTGAACTCGACACTGTCACGTCGAAGGCTGGGAACACGTGAGCAGTCTTGGGATTTCGACTCGGATCCGTTGTCCAGGGCATCGGGGTTCAGCTTGGAGCTTCAAAGGATTCAGGGTTTAGGGATAGAGTTTGGGAACTTGGGTGTGGGTTTACATTGGGTCAAGTGCCTTGATGGGGTCTGCACCAAGTTATCTAATTCTAGAGTCTTCATCCTGCCTACTGGCCCCCGAGACTTTGAAACTTTCAGTATCGTGTACTTCTTCCTGTTCGGGTTCAACACCATCACAAGAAGGTTCAGGACACGGGGATTTGGGAGGGTTCAAAGAGCCGACGGCAGGCACCGGAAAGACCGTCGTCGCACGTATCGTCGGTGAGCTTCTGGTGGAGATGGGGGTCATCCAGAAGGTGGGCTTCGGAAGAACTAATAAAGTATCTCCGTACAGTCCCTGTATACTTAAGTTTACTATGCCGAAAGCCCTCCTCAAATCATGAAGACGTCTGCCAGAGGGGCCTCGACCCTGAAAAAGAAATTCGTCATCGACAGGATCGTGCAGAGTTCGCTGAAGAACTGATTCGTACAAGTGTCCCTCAGTACATACATACAGACACACACGGTGCAATATACCCACCCGCCCGCATCCCAGAAAGACGTCCTGTTGTTGCCCTTTTCTTCTGAGCGGAACTGTGAAGGCACTGTTGCTGGAGTATTGGCCCCAGGACTCCAAACGGTCTGAAGAAGCTTCTCTTTAGTTTAGGATTTAGGGCAGAGCCCTATACCGATATTCGTACCTGCTCAACACCAGATCATGGAATGGCTCTGCCTACCACTGGCAACAAAGCGGATCTGATCCCCCAACCTGTTCCTTTACTTATCCACTCTCTATACATGTACGTATAGGTATAAGTCTATGTATACTCTAGGTATACATATGTTACATATACTTATACCGTGCCTGTAGACAGATGCATATACATACATGTGTGTCTGTCTGCCTGCCTGTATGTATGTATCTACCCAGACCACCGGGAGGATCCCAAAAGTAGATCCCTTAATCAGGTTTCCTATAAAGACCCTTATATTGTGGTATAGGGCCCCAAATTAGGGGATCTACTTTCTAGATCCTCCCGGGGGTATGGGTACTCCATAAGCGCTACAGACCAAGCCCTGGACCCCCCGTTTCAGGAAGGCGACGAGGTGGTCTTCAATGAGGTGTCGCGAGCGGACCTGGTCGCAGAGTACACGGGCCAGACAGCTCCAAAGGCCAAAACCTTTCTGTTTGAAGGGTTTACGGTTCAGGGTTTGCGGCCGGGGGGGTGAGGCCTGAAGGGTGTCTGGCAGCATTTGGATTTTCATGGGGCTTTTGAGCCTGTCACGTGGCTTAGGGTTCAGGGGGTGTAATATAGGGACCTTAATAACTACCGATGCTATTCTGGGGTTCCTTATTAATTATTATAGCGAAAAAGGGCCTCAAAATAGTAGCCCTTAAAGGAACCCCTTAAAGTTAAAGGAGCCCTATTCTAATTATTGAAGAATCGGATCGCTCAGGTCTGTTTGAGGTCCTCGATTTCAATGCAAGTGCCGAAGGCCGTTGGTAATTGATATACTTACTTAGCCGATTGGAGAGCTTTAAACTTTAAAGTTTGTGACTTTATGTAGTTGGTCTATCTTACAAAGTTCGAACTTTTTTGGGGCCTGGTTATTGGAGAAGAGAGTATAAAGGCCAAAAAGAGTAACTAATAGTATTCCTTAGGGCTCCTGATGACAATTAGTACTTTACAAAAGCCCAAAATTCTTAACCTACCTTAAGGCTCCTGGGCCCTTGTAGTGAGATCCCGGACCTTAGCCCCCAAAGCAGAAACCCTCCCCCAGAAAGCCCAAGACCTTCTTAGGAGCCTTAGGGTAAACCCTAAACGCTAAAGGGACACATATCAAGGCCCCTACAGCCCCCTTTTGCCAGGTGATTGATGCAGTAGAGAAGGCGATTGGCGGCGTGCTCTTCGTCGATGAAGCCTACTCCCTGAAGAAGGACTTTGGGAAAATATTTTTGGATTTTTGGTTATTACAATCCCTAAGAAACAGCTAAAATTACAACTTTTGCTAGGGTTCTAAGTTCAGTATAGAGGAGCTGAGCTGCGGTAATATAGAGACATAAATAATTACAAATATCATTTTGGGGCTCCTTGTTCTAATATACTTACTTAGCCAACTGGAGAACTTCTATTTTTTGCTTTATGTAGTTGGTCCGGTCTATCTTACAAAGTCTGAACTTTTTTGGGGCCTGGTTATTACAGCAGTGGTTGTACAGTAGTATAGTAGCACAGTAGTAGTACAGTAGTAGTACAGTAGTCGTACAGTAGTAGTACGGTAGTAGGGTTTAGGGTTTATGTAGGTTTAAGCGGGGTTTCGAGTTTAGGGAGGGTTCTGAGCTTCAGGGGTTTTAGGGTTTGGGCGGGGGTTTGAGGTCGTGGGTGCCTTAAGATTGACGACCATCAGCAGACAGCCACCTCCCAAAAAGTCCACCCCACCAAAAAAAAACGCATTAATTCGGACGCCGTTTTCTTTGTTACCGGCTCGAATAAGGAGAAAACGCATTAAATACAATCACAATTTGAGCCTCACAATACAAAGCAGGACGACACAATAAAGATGTGGATTTTTACTTAAATTAGTCGCTTGTGTTGACCTGGCGAGGGATTGCCCATGCGCTACACCAGAGGCAGCGAGCGCGTTGTTGGTTGAAAAATTGCATATCAATTTCTCCCTGACGGCTTGCAGGAGGGTAAGGACTCCTTCGGACAGGAAGCAGTCGACACTTTGATCAAGGAGATCGAGGACAAGAGAGACAAGGCCAAAATACACCAGCCCTCAACGCTAAGCCTCTTAGACTGAGCCAGCTAGCATGTTAGTGGTGATTCTATATTCGGAATTGGGAGATCGATAATGCTACCGTAACCCTTGCTGTTTCAGCCTGGAACAAACATCCATTAAACACCACCTAAGGCCCTAAATAGGCCACAAGGTTGACGTTTCATACCCAAAGTTGCAGGACAAGAGTTTAGGGTTTGGGCTATTTTCCTGGCCTAGACCTATCCCGGGTATTTTCATCTTGGACCTGTCTGGTGAACCCGGAACACCAAGTCTTACACCCAGACCTTCTGGATGTAAAGCCCTAAACCCTAAACCCTAAACCCTAAACCCTAAACCCTAAACCCTAAACCCTAAACCCTAAACCCTAAACCCTAAACCCTAAACCCTAAATTAAAGGCTACCCTGAACCCTGTAAGTCCCCGACCCTAAACCTTTGCATGGGCAGGTCATCGCCATTTTCGCAGGCTCGGCTCAGAGCTGCAATTTTCCGAATGTGTGCAAGCCCGAGGTTTAGAGTTTATGAATGGGTTGGGGATCTATACATCCCCGGGACGAAAGTTTTGAGCTACCGGGCCTTTCATCATGTTACAGATTCTTGCGGAGTAGCGGAGTGCTTCAAAGTAACGAATACGCTATGCAGGCCAGCGGAGTAATTACTTCGCCGCTTTGGAAATATGCTACTTATTCATTACGGAGGAGGCCCCAAGGCTCGCTTGTGTCAGGGGTCTAGGGGGAACAGGGTGAGAGCGTGGGTCAACTTCGCCGTTTCAGCAAGTGGGCCAAACTATCGGCCCTGCGCAGTAAGGTTTATGGCCTATAAACCCGAAACCGTAAACCGTGGGAAAGGCTACGACAAGGAGATGGAGACCTTCTTCGAAGCGAATCCTGGGTTCAAGTCTCGAGTGCCTTTCAAGCTCCTTGACTGAGGGCTCGGGGTCTATTTAGACCCCCCAAATACCCTCTAACATGCCTTAAATACCCAGTATTAAGGACTATAATTTGGGGTTCCTTATTATGATTATAGTATACTGGGCCCGACACCCTATTCTAATTATTAAGGCCCCTATGTTAGGGTTTACCCATAGGCCCCATAGTATTTCCTTTTTGGGGTTCATGAATAGAATCCTATAAGGCCTGTAAGGTAATCCTGAAAAGGAACTGCTATGGGGCCTATAGGTAGGTTTCAGGGTTTGAAGTTTAGGCTTAACGGTTTGGGGTTTCGTGTTTGGGATTTTTTGTTGGGAGGGGTTAGGGCTTTGGCGTGCAGTTCTTCGAGGGTTTATAAGTAAGTACGTTTAGGGCTTCAATTGTTTTGAGGGCCCGACCCTAAACCCTAAACCCTGTGAGATTCTCAGGTTGTTGGGGCCTTTTAGGGGTTTAGGGTTTGGAGTGTTCAGGGCTTCTAGGGCGTTTAGCGCATGAAACTCTAAGCTCTACCCATATAGGCCGGATTGTAGTTCCTTTTAGGGATTACCTTATAGGATTCTAACCCCGATGCTCCAAATTTCCAAGCCGCGCATTGTTTAGATTTGGGGTTTTAGGGTTTGGAGTTTAGAACCCTTGATAATTTTTGACCCTGTAAGTACGGTTTACATTCCAAGGTTCTTCTTTGAGGATTACAAGTGCCACGAGCTGAACCAGATCTCGGGCATCTTCATGGAGGACAAGGCGCGCCGTCGGCAGCGCTGTTAAAGGGTTTGGGGTTTTGGGCACCTGTTAGGGCTTGTTGAGTTCAAGGTCTCGCTTTTAAGGCTTATTGGCATTTACTGTATAGGGTTCAAGGTTTACGGGTTTTAATTGGGGCCCTACAGAGCCCTAAACCCTAAAGCCACCCTAAACCCTAAAGCCTACACAAGCTTTGTCCTAGCTTCGAGATGGTGACTTCAAGCTGCGATCTTAACCCCCTGGCAGCCGGCCCACCTCCGAATCCCAAATGGTTTAAGGTTTAGAGTTTAGTGTTTAGGAATTTAGGGCTTCGGGTTTATGAGTTTAGGGTTTAGGGGCATTTGCCCAGCCAGCATGGAATTTGCAATACCGCTGTAGGGAGCTGTTCGAGTGTTGAGCTCCTAGTCCTACTCAATAACTTCATAACTTCGCAGGAATATGTTCCGAGCGATGCCGAACCGTGTTTAGCATCTTAGTGATACTGCTGTTGATGATATAAATCCTGCATTACCCATAATAAGGAATATGCCATAATTCCCATAGTTTAGGGTCCTTAAGGTAATGCAGGATTTATATCATCAACCGTGGTGATGACCATGGTCCTGGTCTTGGCCATGGTCATGATCTTCAAGACGGAAAGGAAGATGAGCATCACGAAACTGACTATGTTGCTGTCGGTGGTGGGGATCGATTGTGCTGCTATTTGCTGATTCGTGAGCTGACGCCCTTCTACAAACGCATGACCATGAAGTTTCCGTTCTTGTCATCGTCGGCATCACTCGTCGTGATTCGTGATCCATAGACTGTCGTCGTCAACTCCCAACCCCCCCGCCACCACAACCCCACCCGGCGCTCCCCCAACCGGCACGTCGTCGTCATCATCATGCTCGCATTCACTGTACAGTCGCACAGACACGAAAGACTGGGCAGGACTTTGGGTTATTTCAACATTCTCCTTATCGGAGGTTTATAAGGACCCTATATATGGGTGGTTGTCAATATTAGGGCAGGGTCCCTTTTTGGGTCCTTATTATGATACGGCACCGAATACTTAGGCTACCCAAAAAGGGACCCTAATTTTCACAACCGCCGATATATACTAATATTTTTCAAAAACCTCTACCTCAAGGCTCCTACACCCTTGTAGTGAGATCCCGGACGCTAGCCCCCAAAGACGGAACCCTCCCCCAGAAAGCCCAAGACCCTCTTAGGAGCCTTAGGGTAATCCCTAAACCCTAACCCCTAAACCCCTAAACCCTAAACCATGCTTTGAAGCCCTAGGGTAAACCCTAAAACCCCTTTTGGCCTCCTATGACTTAGGGTAAAGACCAGCTCAGAAGAGACGGTTGCGGCAGGGCTTCACTGCCTCCGACGACGCCAAGCTCTGGCCGCTTGGCTGCATACAGAAGCCCCGACCTGATGGTGTTCATACTGTGCGTATATATATATATATATATATATATGCACATAATACAAAATACAATATGTAATTATTCGTATATTTATATATACATTGCGAAATATTAAGATATATATCTGTATATATATATATATATATATATATATAGAGAGAGGTATACATATATATATATATATAACCACATCGACACACACGATCCCTGTTTGCGGTTCATTTTCGTCGAGTGCGGTGGGACCGCCCCCGACATTAAAAGAAGATTTAAAGAGACCACTAAAACGAGGCCAGATCAAAGGAGTTTGAAGAGGCTGGTATGTGGTGGGTAAAAGGAGGGACCCTTAATAAGGACCCCTAGGTACATACCCTTAATATAGCGATTATATACCAATTATAGATCTCATTATAGGGTAGGGGTCCCCATTAAGGGTGGCTATTCAAATACTAGGAGTTCAGACAGCCTGCTATTAAGATAGATTTAAAGAAGCTGGGAATACTAGGAATTCAAGTGGACAGTGCAAGCAGAAGTGGTGTAGCCTAGGTGCTGTAGAACAGCAGCATCTAAGCAAGCAATGTTAGTGAAAGCACGTAGACCAGCAGCGTGTGAGCAAGCAATGTAAGTGGAAGCATGTACGCCAAATAGTCACCAACGATTTGTTCCAAAGAGCCCTTCGCAGAGTTTTCGGGAATAGCATGGACATCGCACTGGAGAAAAACCGTCGCCCTCGGAGTTCGTGTCCTCCCGAACACTGAGGCAGTACAGCTAGAAATTTGGATGCTGACTGACTGTAGGATCCGCACGGGACCACATAAACATTAGGATCCTATATGCTAGGGATACAAGAGACTCCCAGGCTCTATGGGGGACTTCAGAAACTTTTGAACTCCTTTCATGCTTTGCACAGAGCCTCGATTGTTTTGGGGGTTCTGCGATCATGATGTCTATGTGGTCTTCAGGGCCCTTCCTAATGCCTCTAACCCCGATTAGCCTATACCCCAAACCCCTAACAAACTCTTAATGCCTCAAGCCTAAGACCCTATATACTCGAAATCTTCAAACTCCTTAACCCTAAGGCCCTCGCTATAAAACCGCTCCACTCCACAACACCCCACACCCTAAGATCCTAAATCCTAACCGTCCTAACCCCTACCCTATGACCCTAAACCCTACATTTCCCCCTCCGCACAGGCTTAACCGAACGATCAAGTTTGCCACGGGCTGTTGCGAGGAGCAGATCTCAGCTTCCCAGGGCTTTGAGTGTAGGGTATACTTAAGGTGTAGTGCAGGGTTTGGGGTCTAGGGGTCCATGTACATGTGTATCTTGATGATACAAATCCTGCATTACCTTAAGGACCCTAAACTATGGGAATTATGCTATTTTCCTTGAAATGGGTAATGCAGGATTATTATCATCAGCCGTACCATGATCTGACCCCTTGAGGCGACCATTCAAGAAATGTGTAACTAACTGTTTAGGGTTTAGGGCTTAGGTTTTAGGGCTTTAGGGTTTAGGGCTCAGGATTTCGTGTTTAGGATGTCTACTCCTATTACCATTAGATTACACCCGTGGGGGATGTGCCGTCTTCTCGTGGGACTCTGCACCGGGCAAGGCCCCCCGACATACACCCGATTACTATTGGAGTTCAGGGTTTTAGGGCTTGAAGCTCGAACTTGACTCGAGATATCCGATGTAGAACTTCAGATCAGCATCATGGCTATCACTACTATTGCGAGCACTACGAATGAAACTCCAATTGTAGCAGTAGTCGTTCTCGTCGTTGTCATTGTTGTGGCCGTTGTTGGTGTAGCAGTACTTTTGGCATCATGACGATTCGTAGGGGTAGCAGAAGAATCTGGTTAGGGTTTGCGATGTGTCCGGTTCCAAAGCTTTCCTAACGCCCGAGCCCGAACACCAAAACATGTGGCTACCTAAAGCCGTATATGGAACAGAGACTGTGCGAATAGACGAAAAGACACATCATCGATTATCTGGGTTCTACAGACACACAGTGACAACATACTGTTGATGGACAAAATCCTGCATGACCTTAAGGACTCTAAACTATGGGAATTATGGTATATATTGGGTCATGCAGGATTTTGTCCATCGGCAGTATAGCCAGCACAGCAGCTTTAACCCGATTGTGGTTTTCCGCTTTTCCGTGCAGGAGCGACACCAGGGGATCGAAGACACCGGCCCTCAAGAAAGCGTTCCCGAAGGATCCTAAGTACCCATATAGGGGATACCTAGCCAGACCATAACCCCAAGGGTCCGAGTACCCAATAATCATATACTCTCCAAAATCCTAACCTACACAACTACTATCCTACAACCGAGTACCTAATTATTGGGTCCTTTGGACCCTCGGGGTAATAACAATTCCGACTAAAGACAGCGCTACTACTATCTAGCTGCTTGGGAGCCTTGCGGGGTGAAACCTGCAACCCTTCAGCGTCTAAACCCAAAACCCCTAAACCCTATAAGCCCTAATCCCTTAAACCCCAAGCCCCTAAACCCTTAAGCCCTAAAGCCATAAACCCTTAACCCTAACCCCCTAAAGCCCTAAACCCATAAACCCTTAACCCTAGCCCACTGAACCCTAAACTCTCAACCCCTAAACCCCCAACTTAACCGTAGAACCCTAAAGCCCTAGAGCCCTAAAGCCCCTAAAGCCCTAAAGCCCTACCTTAACCCTGAAGAACCTACCTTTTTAAGGACTTATATAAGGAAATCATAATAGGGAACCCTAAAAAGGTAGGTTCTTCAGGGTTAAGGTCCACCCTAAACCCCCAAAGATCATGGCTGAGGCTGGCGCCGATGATCACCAAGGGGACGATGAGTCACAGCAGAGCTGCAAGTCGACCCTGGGGCTCAAGCTTTGCTTTAAAGGATTAGGCTTTAGGGTTTAGGATTTAGGCTTTAGGATTTAGGATTTAGGGTTCAGGATTTAGGGTTTAGGATTTAGGCTTTAGGGTTTAGGATTTAGGGTTGAGGATTTAGGCTTTAGGATTTAGGATTTAGGGTTGAGGATTTAGGCTTTAGGGTTTAGGATTTCGGCTTTACCTTAACCCTGAGTAACCTGCTTTTTTAGGGTTCCTTCTTATTCCTTATATAAGTCCCTAAAAAGGCAGGTTTTTCGGGGTAAAGGTAGGGTTTAGGATTTAGGGTTCAGGGTTAAGGTTTAGGGTCTGTGGCGTCGAGTAACCCGACGAAATTCCAATTGGTGTCGAACAGGGAGGTCACAAGTTGGGTTTTACAAGGCTCAGAATTGTGTTGCATGACGGGGTGAGGGTTAGGATCCCCGACCCCCGAACTCTCAGCCGGTTTGCTGTGTAGCCCTAAGGACGTAAGAGTAATTACTCAATCATTATATACCTCTCCCACAAAGTAGCTATTCTATATGAGTGTTTCCGAAAATTAGGGCTACCTTATGTTCGGGTCCTTATAATAAGGATCCTACCATATTATGGGTATCAGATCAGGTTTCGGAAGCTCCCATATGCGAAAGGATTCATTTCTTATGTACTGCGGGCAGTGCGGGTTGAGCTCTCAGGGACCCATGGGCTCCATGTACCCACATAGTATATACTTAGGCCTTAAAGTACCTATATAGGGACCCCTTTAAGGCCTAAGTATCTACTATAAACCTACATGGAGCCTTTGGGGGATTGAAGCCCGGCATATGGCGAACAACCGAGGACCCGGGACGGAGGAAACGGACGCACTGTCCGCAACATTCTGGACACTCGGCTGCGGGATAAGGGTTTAGGGTTTCACTCCAAAGGTTTCAGGAGTTGGGCAGGGTTTAGGGTCCAAGGCTTACCTGTATTCCTAAACTCTGCAAAACAGTGGGTTGTGACCCCTTAATTAGAGGGTATAGCCCTTACAACTACAGCTTTTTGGATCTCTGGGTAGGGCATCGACTCACCTAAAGCCTCGATTTTGATGATGCCTTTGTCGTTGTCGTAGTTGTTGTCGCTGCTGCTGTTGCTGACAACGTTGGTGATAGGTTTAGCCGTGCCCTTAGCTAAGAAGTGATGTATACGTGTTTGCACAAACGTGTGCTAGTGCTGCACACATGCTTGAACGATGCTAATGAGAACTATCATGGCAGTTAGGTGTTGCTTTCCTTCAAACGGTTTGTAGGAAGACGCCCAAACCGCTCCAGGCCCAAACCCCATGAACAGCCTTCAACAACCCGTCAACAGACTATACGACACCATCCCCGCCCAACCCCCCCTAAACCCCTAAACTCTAAACCCTAAGCCCTGAACCCTAAGCCCTAAACCCTAAACTCTAAACCCTAAGCCCTGAACCCTAATCTCTAAACCCTAAACCCTAGCCCCTGAACCCTAAACCCCCTGAGTTGTCATGGTTTATCAGCATGCCTTTTTGACGGCAAGCTTGCGCAGACAAACATGTCTTTGGGTTCCAGGACTTTTGTTTGTTTTAAGTTGTGGAGATACAACAAGACTGGTCTTGTTCAACGTATTCCATGAGACAGCTCATTTTTCCTATGCTTCCCCGCTCGATTCGGTGGTAAATTGGTTCAAGTCCTTCCCTGGTTTTGAGTTTAGGGTGTGCCGTAGACTGGTCATGTTGCTAGCTTCAGCTCGGCGTGTGCGGTCGCGGACACCACCGCATGCAGATGACAGTTTTCGACATCAGGCACCCCCAACGTTTGATTTTGGAGACCACGTGCGTGTTCTCCATAGTTTCTCTCACGCGGTGGGTCACCATTTCGATGTCGTTGCTGGGCTGCATGGAGTGGTCACAGAAGTGGACTCCCAAGGAGATGCCCTAATTCAGTTCCAAGGCATGTCCATGAGGAAATGGATTTGTGGCGATGAGAAGTTCCTGCTTGAGATAGTTCATGCTAGCGGACTCAAACCACCGGGCACATTCGGTGTGCGCCCCAAAGCCAAAGCTCATGCTCCGCAACCAGTACCTCTTCAGCGAACTCCGCAGCCAGTGACACCTGCGGCCTCATGGCCGAAATGGAACGTGCTCGACAATCGGCCTGGAATGCGTAAGCCTTCTGGCAATGCAGGGTATGAGCCGCATACTTTGTTGGGCGGCTGTGCATCCGCCGCAGGGTCCTCCCCTGGAGGTCTTAATAGCATGACTGCGCAGAGCCCATCAGGAATCAATCTTGCTGCAGTAATGATTAGTGACCCTGATCAGT